ACAGATGTCAATTTTGCTGCTGAGGTTGGTCTGTTAGTGATAGAATATCTCATCCTTGGCCATTTGTTTCACAAACTACCTCTTAACTGAAATAAAAGAAAATGATACAGGATAGAGGGACCAGCAAGGGTGAACTTCTGAGGAAAACCAGATCCTGTTGAAAACCAGCTGCCCTGGAGTCAGCTCTGACTCCGAGTGACCCCAGGTGTGCTCCGCAGGGTGTCTGGGGACCTATCTTTCAGAAGCAGACCACCAGGCATTTCTTCTGAGGTGCCTCTCAGTGGACCTGAACTGCCAGACTTTACAGAGGTTCTGAGCAACTTAACCAAGACAAGCATGTCATGTATCTCACCTTCTCAATATTTCCATCCCTATTTTATTTCTGGATAAACTGAGTCTCAGGAACCTTAAGTAATGTGATCAAGGTCACAGAAGTATAAGGTGACAGAGCAGAGTGTCCACGCAGGGGAAATTCCCCACCTATCAATGCTATTGCATCAAGCCCATTTTACTATCTTTTCAAATGGCAAGGTCAACCTCCCAGTGGCTCTGACCTTCTCCAGAATGATGTCTTTCTCCAAGGACCGCTTCCTCCTGACAACATGCCCAAAGTATGTGAGACAGAGCTTCACCAACTTGCCTCTAAGGAGCACCCCAAGTTCACCTCTTCCAAGACAGACTCTCTAGTCCTTTTGCCAGTCCATGAGAGGCACAGGACCCGTCCATAGCTCCACCACTCAGTAGCACTGTTTCCTCTGTCATCCTTGCACTGTGAGTAAGAAATCTTTTCAGGCTCAAACAATTCTCCAGCACTTGAGTCGCTTTGTCCCGCCATATCTTGCTTTTGCAAAATAGTTTTATTCTGTATCTTTGCTAGCAAACCTTTTTTCATGCTCACATTAGAGAGCCTGGGCTCCTGTCTCTCTCTTCTTACTTAGTCGGAGGGAGGACCTCAGTGTATGGAGGACCCTGGAGTAGTTTTCTTGGCGAGCACATTTGAGGGGTACTCGGGCAACAGGGCTGCCAGGAGAGTTGACAGGGTAGCACTCGACTCTCTCTGACCTGTGGCCTAATGAAAACTAATCTTTAATTTTTCACAATCCATATGGAGCATTTGCAGGTTACCTTCTTCCTGCCCAGGTGGGGATGGAACAGATATGCAGCAGAGATTGCACTGAAGAGAGACAGGTGTGAACAGGTATGTGGCAGCGATGGCACTGAACTGAGACAGGTGTGAACAGGTATGTGGCAAAAATTGCACTAAACTGAGGCAGGTGTGAACAGGTATGCAGCAGAGATTGCACTGAACTGAGACAGGTGTGAACAGGTATGCAGCAGGGATTGCACTGAAGGGAGACACATGTGAACAGGTATGCAGCAGTTGTTGCACTGA